CACCCGAGGAGCTTCCTTGGAATTAGGTGGAAAAGAGTAGTAGAGTTGCGTGTCATCTGCATAGAGGTGGCACCCAACTCCAAAACTCCGGATGACCTCTCCCAGCGGTTTCATGTAGATATTGAAAAGCATGGGGGACAGAATGGAACCTTGCAGGGCCCCACAGGTCAAAGGCCAGGGGTCCGAGCAGGTGTCTCCCAGATTCACCATCTGGGAACAACCCTCCAGGGAGGACCGGAGCCATGACAGAGCCGTACCTCCAAGGCCCATCCCGGAGAGTCGTCCCAGAAGGATACCATGATTGATGGTATTGAAAGCCGCTGAGATATCCAAGAGAACCAGCAGAGTCACACTCCCCCTGTCCAGCTCCCTGCAGAGGTCATCCACCAAGGCGACCAAAGCCGTCTCAGTACCGTGACCAGGTCTGAAGCCAGACTGTGACTGGTCCAGATAGTTGATGTCATCAAGGAAACCCTGGATCTGAGACGCAACCACCCACTCCAGCACCTTGCCCAAAAACGGGAGGTTGGAGATTGTTCTGTAATTATTCACGACAGTGGAGTCAAGGGAGGCTTTTTTCAGGAGTGGTCTAACCACAGCCTGTTTCAGCCCAGATGGAAAATTCCCTTGCTCCAATGATGCAGTAATGACTAACACAAACCAATCAATCAATCCACTTCTGGCTGATTTAATTAGCCAAGTAGGGCAAGGGTCCAGAGCCGACGTGGTTGCTCTCACAGCCCCAAGGATCCCCTCCATGTCCTCAGGATGATCCTTGGGGCTGTGAAGATGGAAGGAATCCCACAAAACCAGACAAGCAGATGCCTCAGTCACCTCCTCTGGCACTGTGTTTAAGCTGGTGTCTAGCTCGAGGCGTATCTGAGCGACTTTATCTGCAAAATGGTGCGCGAACTGGCAGCACCGAGTTGTTGGGTCGTCAGGGGCCCCCTCCACCTCAGGGAGGTGAAGGAGCTCTCCCACAACCTGGAACAGCTCCAAAAATCTATTAGATGCAGATGCTATGCGGGCTTCTCCCTGGCTACCCGTATAGCCGCGGTACAGGCCCTAAGTGAGGCTCCAGCTCATGTTCGGTCAGAGACATTCCGAGATTTCCTCCAGATGCACTCTAGTCTCTTTCTTGTGCACTTCATCACAGCCAACTCCCCAGTGAACCAAGGAGATGGTGTGTCTCTGCGCAATGAGAGGGGAGGTTCGGGAGTGATCGTATCTATCACCCTGGCCATCTCGCTGTTATAGAGATCGACCAGAGCGTCAACAGGATAGCCAGGCTCCATGATAGGAAGAGCCCCAAGATTCCTCAGGAATCCATCTGGATCCATCAGTCTCCTGGGGCGGACCATCTTAATTGGTCCTCCACCCCTGCGGAGGTTAGAGGTCACAGCAAGCCTAAGACTGATCAGATGGTGGTCAGACCATGACAGTGGAAGAATATTTTGTTCTTTCACTATGACTGTTCCACTGTCCGTAATAAAAACCAGGTCGAGTGTATATCCAGCCTGATGGGTGGGTCCAAATATAATTTGTGATAGCCCCATGGTCGTCATGGCGACCATGAAATCCTGAGCTGCTCCTGTTAAAGTGGTCTCTGCATGAATGTTAAAGTCTCCCAGCACAATCAGATGCTAGGAGACCAAAGCCGAATTAGAGACCACATCTGATTGCTCAGGCAGGAAAACTGCTGAGTCGTGGGGTGGGTGGTACACCAAGGGGTCGCAGCATTAGGATGGTTAAGTACCATGGGTCTAGATTATTCTTGGCATCCTTGACTGACTGCTGGGAGGTTGAAGAATTGCAGTAGATATAAAAATGAACCATAAAAAGCAATATTTTGATGAGTCATACCATTGGCTCTCTAGGTTTTAGGAAAATTTCCTAACCTTGGATAAATATCCCTAATATTCTCTGATAATATTTCGTCCAGACGTTAAGTATGCTTGGCCTTGTTTAGCTTCTACAATTAAATCAGATTGGGTCTATTCAGAATGGTACAGTTGTGCCCACTATCATAGCTTGTGTTCTATTATTGTGGAAACAGACCCAAAATTCTCACAAACTATACAGTGTTCTCCACTATGGTGAAGTATCTCTCTGTACAATCTCTCCATACCATAAAATTCATTCACGGAGAAAGATCCCTTGCATATTAGCCCAGTTTTTGGACACAGAAATGAAACTTACATGTGATTTTCTCTTACAAGTTGTTAACAAAGAGTAAGGAACTAGTCTGGGTTAAAGTTTTAGCATGGGGAAGTCCTTCTACTATGTTCTTAATCTATCTTGAAGAAGGTAAGGTAAGGTTTTCCCCTGACATGTGTCCGACTCTGGGGGTTAGTGCTCATCTCAATTTCTAAGCCGAAGAGCTGGCATTGTCAGTAGACACCTCCAAGGTCATGTGGCTGGCATGACTGCATGGAGCATTGTCACCTTTCTGCCGGAGCGGTACCTATTGATCTACTCACATTTGCATGTTTTCAAACTGCTAGGTTGCCAGAAGCTGGAGCTAACAGTGGGAGCTCACACCACTCCCTGGATTCCAACCTGTGACCTTTCAGTCAACAAGTTCAGCAAACCACTATACCACCTGGGGCTCTATCTTAAAGAAGATACACCAACAATTTGCAATTTGCAAAATTTCAAATTTTGAATATATCTCCCTAGGTTTCCATAATACATATATAATCCAGCATTCAGAATTCGCTTCAATTGGATTTTAAAGATGCAAACCTTGAAGAAGATACACCAAAAATTAGCATCTTTAAAATCCAACTGAAGCAAATTCTGAATGCTGGATTATATATGTATTATGGAAACCTAGGGAGATGTGTTCAGTGTATACAAAAATGTTTCATTTACTTTTAATAAGTCATTGAACAAAAAGTTAACAAGGGAGGAAACTTTCATTTACCTGAACATGAACTGCATAATGTTATAGCTGTTTGTCAATCTGATTCTATTTCCCATGTAGCATTGATTTTCTTCACAAAGCTGGAGTCTTGAGGCTTTGTTTATGACACCAGCCAAAATGGAGTTAGGGCACAGTCCTAGATCAGTAAGAGTGAAGAAATTGGATGAAGTCTAATCGAAGTTGAAAAAAACGTGGTGTTTTTGAATAGAATGGCTTCATCCTAATTAGGTTGTAGGGCAGTCATATAAGATTGTGTCAGCCTCAGTCCCTCACTAACCAGTTCCCTCCAGGATATCTTCTGGAAACTGGGTGTGTAGTTCGCACAGATTTCAAGGCAGAATTACAGAGTTAGTGTTCCGACTATGGTTTTTCTTGTAAGTAAAAATCTTATTATGTAATGGTGCTCTGGGCATGGTATACATTTGTTCAGGAGGAAGGACTGTAGTAAATCCGTTGACCAGAAATTATTATTCTTTTTCAAGTACAAGCCTTGAAAAAAATCCTTCATTACTCAGAAAATGAGTAAGTTCACCATCCCCTCCTTTTGGAAACCAGGACACTACTGACAAATAATTAAATAAGGAGTTTCCAGGACAAAAGCCACATACTGAAAAAGTGTCATATAAACTGTAGGGGTAATTTGTCTCTCCTTTGGAAATGAATATAATTGTACAAATTGTCTTCAGATCTTGGTTGATATTATATAAGAGTAAAACATATAAATAAGTTTCCTTATGTATGCATGTGTCCTTTTGGAGGGTTTCCCCTCCTCTCTATGAAAGAAACCCTATTTCTCCCAGCTGACTGACCACCCCTTGCTTCATGAGAAATGTTCAGGATTCCATAAGCATCTGGTTATGAGGCTGTCTTCATAACCAGATACAACATAACATCAGCACTGTGATCTGACAAGGTCTTCTGGAGGTCTCAACACTGCTGTGGAGCCCCCAGTGGCGCAATGGGTAAACCCTTGTGACAGCAGGACTGCTGACCAAAAGGTTGGTGGTCCGAATCCAGGGAGCGTGGTGAGCTCCCATCTGTCAGCTCCAGCTTCTCATGCAAGAACATGAGAAAAGCCTCTCACAGGATGGCAAAACATCCGGGCGTCCCCTGGGCAATGTCCTTACAGACAGCCAATTCTCTCACACGAGAAATGACTTGCAGTTTCTCAAGTCCATCCTGACATAAAAAACACTTCTGTAATCGTGTTACATCTGTCTATGGGTACGTTACTTCTGTGACCCTGCCTGCTTCCTACAAAGTATGGAATGTCCATGAGACAGGCTGTTCAGTAAACCAGGGGATTGAATGTGCATAGTGGAAGTCTACATATGAGCTTACTATATTATACTGAGCCACAAAAAATCACAACTATAGTTTTGTTTGTTTTTTTTGGGGTTTTTTTTTTGTCATGCATTCGTTTTCCAAACTGACATTGACAAATACATCTGTTTGACTTTAGGATTATGTCCAATCATATGAATGCATCAGACCATTCAAAAGATTGGCCCTGAAAAGATAGTCTCTATGTGGTTTGAACTGTGCAGTGGAATGTCTTTCACAGTTCAGAGAATGAAATACATTTGGACAGGAAACCTGTGAAGAGTAATAGAGTGATATATACTGGAGAAGTGGAAAAAAAGAGGAAGGCGGGTATAGAGGCAGTCCCCAAGTTATTGCCAATCTTTGTTTCCACAGCAAGTCAAAATTTTTCAAAATCCAATTATCACAGGGACAGAATGTGAGGTGAAATATTCTGAGCAGGGGCACAGACAGCAAAACAAACACCACAGGGGTGTTAACCCTTCCCTATGCTATTCAAAGCTAAACTATACAGGCAATTGACATGGTTCAGAACAAAGCATCCTATTGAACCAAAAAAATCTCATAAGATACTCCAGTAGAAGGAACTTTTAAATGAAATGTTTACAGGCAATCCCCAAGTTACCAACAAGACAAGTTCTGTAGGTTTGTTCTTAAGATGAATTTGTATGTAAGTAAAATGTGTAACACCAGCCAAATCTGTATGGAAGTAAAACGTATAACTCCAGCCAAATATGTGTGGGGGGGGGGGGGGATCACTTCAGCAGCACATATACTAAAATTGGAATGATACAGAGAAGATTAGCATGCCCCCTGTGCAAGGATAACATGCAAATGTATGAAGCGTTCCAAATTTTTTATTCACAATGTTTGAACTTTGACAAGGGCAGGCTTTGAACTGAGACGTCTGCCATTAAATCAGATCTGGATCCGGCTACTTGATGAATAATAATGTTTTAATATATTTTAATCTAATGTTTTATTTCTTGAATAAAGTTGTTGTAATGTATTTCATATGTTGTATGTTGTCGGCATTGAATTGCTGCCGTTGTAAGCTGCCCTGAGCCCTTCGGGGGTTGAGAAGGATGGGGTAGAAACGTTGGAAATAAATAAAAAAATACAGAACCTGTCTTGATAGTAACTTGGGGATTGCCTGTAAATATTTAATTTAAAAGTTCCTTCTCCTGAAGCAGCTTATGATAATTATTTGTTCAATGGGATGCCTTATTCTGAGCCATGTCAATTGCTTGTATAGTATAGCATTGTCAATGGTTGTTGGCAATCTAATTAGGAAAGCAGCTTTCCAAGGCCTCCAGTTCCTTGAAATAATCTTTTAGAGAAAAATAAGTAGTCAAATGCATTCTGGATATACACTTATCAAAGACTTATGGTCTTTCCTATGCTAATTGTCTTATGTTTTAACTGATAATGTCTTGAATGCATTCATTTATTTTATGGGAAACTATTCCACACTGCAGTAGTAACATTTTCTATATCTGATGGGATGAAAGGAGGTGTTCATTAAAACATCCCCAAACTTCTCAATTCATAGTTCATAGAAAATGCAAGTGTTTTTATAGTCTGCATTGAGGATATCTTAAACTTTTTTTCCTACCTTTTGCTTGACTTGGTTAAAAAAGATATGAACTCCAAAAAGACTTTCCAGCTTTGCAAAGCTTAAATCACAGATGTCTCCTTCTGGAGACTGAATCTCATTGTCCTGAGTACTTGCATTCATCCACCAAAAATATATTTGCCAAGAATGATTTGATCATACTTGGCTTAAGCATCCTTGAAATTTGCCCTTATTAAGAAAACCAAGCTTTCATATCCTTTTAAAATAATAGATATATATATATGGAATATTATCTTCCAAGTAATAAAAGTTTTATATATGATTTATAACTAAGTTTTTGAAGGTCTGTGGTTTGTTAAAATTTTACTTTGTTGTATAATAATGATGATAGAAAATGGTTCTGTTTAATTCACTGATGAGACAGCAAATGTTAATGGATTTGAGCTAGGCAAAGCCTTTCAGACTAGCTTACTGATCGACAAGATTGTGATATTATGTGCACTTCAGTACAACCAGGTAGAAATTATGAGCCATACTATACATGAGTTATTTTGTATTTTCATTGATTTGTTTTAAAAAAGATGGATAAACTAATTTCTAAAACCAGTTGACAGAGCAGCAGTGAACTCTTAACTAAAATATGTGTCAGCTTTTGGAAGAGGTAGGATTAGACTCGAGCGTTTTCTGTTGTCCAAAATGCCATCTGCTGATGAACCAGTCTCCTGACAGAACTGCTCAGCTGTAGATCTATTCATAGAATCACAGAATCATACAGTTGGAAGAGACCTCGTGGGCCATACAGTCCAACCCCCTGTCAAGGAGCAGGAAGATCACATTCAAAGCACCCCTGTCAGATGACCATCCAGCGTCTGTTTAAAAGACTCCAAAGAAGGAGCCTCCACCACACTCCGGGGCAGAGAGTTCTCACAGCTCTCACAGTCAGGAAGTTTTTCCTAATGTTCAGGTGGAATCTCCTTTCCTGTAGTTTGAAGCCATTGTTCAGCATCTTAGTCTCCAGGACAGCAGAAAACAAGCTTGCTCCCTCCTCCCTATGACTTCCCCTCACATATTTATACATGACCATCAGTCTCTTCTGCAAGCTAAACATGCTCAGCTCTTTAAGCTGCTCCTCATAGGGCTTGTTCTCCAGACCCTTGAACATTTTAGTCGCCCTCCTTTGAACACATTCCAGTTTGTCAACATTATGGTGCCCACAATTGGAAACAGTATTCCAGGTGAGGCCCGACCAAGGCATAATAGAGCGGTAGCGGCACACCACTTGTCACTTCTTTCCAGGATGAAAGGGATGAATTGGCAAGGACCCTCTGGGTTCATTCTCTTAACCAATTACAGATCCACCTAACCGTAGTTTTGCTCACATTTGACTAGTTTGTTTGGTCATGGAGGTGCTTGTTGAAGGTCTTGCTGAAACCCAGATATGCTGCATCCACAGCATTCCCTGCATCTACCCAGCTTGCAACTCTATCGAAAAAAAGATATTAGAGGTGCTGGAAAAAGTGCTATTAAAAAGGTGGCAAAAGTGGGCTAGCAAAGCACAAAGCCAAGTGACACCAGATCTAGACTTCTCACAGCTGCAATTCTATTGAAATGTTAGGCCAGGCTGTGGGTAGTTCTACATAATTTTGAAAATGTTAGGTAAGAGACTTTTGGGTGTAGCCAAGCTTCAGCTGACCTACTATTGGCTCTGCTGGCCCTTAGCCATTTTGGACACCTATGGAAGGAGGCCAGATTGGATTGGGCACAGGAAGATTCATTCTTTGCCCACTGAATGGTAGGTCTGTAGGTGAACTAAGAAATAGCCTCCATGCAGCAATTGCAACTTTGACAATAGGAAATGAAAAAAGAAGGTGGTCCAGAGCTGTATTCAAATTCTTCTGAGAATTACATGAAGGGGAGAGGGAATTGCACCATTTTATCAGTTGGTTCTTTTTCTGCCACTGATAATGTCAGTCTTCTGGTTGACTATGGAAGACCTCCTTGGAGAAGAAAAGTTGCACAGCCTGACAAGTCCATCAAAGAAGCCCACCAATACCATCCCCACCTTGCTCCCTCAATCTCCTCCCTCATACTGCAGCTTTCTTGAGCACAGGTTGGGAAAGACCTCATGGGAAAATAAGTCATCCTTGGCTAGCATACAAAGAAGGCAACTGATACAAGAGAAGGTTAGAGGCCGTGTTGGCCCAATGGGTCAAACCTTGTGCTGCTGAACTGCTAACCTGAAGGTTGGCAATTTGAATCCACAGGACAGGGTGAGTTCCTGCTGTTAGCCCTAACTCCTGCCAGCCTAGCAGTTCGAAAACATGCAAATGTGAGTAGATCAATAGGTACTGCCTCAGTGGGAAGGCAAACAGGTGCTCCAAGCAGTCATATGACCAGGAGGTGTATATGGACAACATAGGCTCCTCGGCTTGGAAATGGAGATCAACACCTTCCCCCAGAGCTGGAGTTGAGCACTGCCTCCAGAAACCTTTGTCTTTGTCTGTGAATTTTTGTCTGATTGTATCAAGTCAATGAATGTTTGCCTGTGTTTGTGTTTGTATATATGCTGTAATCCACTCATGGATATAGGGCAGAATATAAATAAAATGTTATTGTTGTTGTTAACTAAAAGACTATAATCTAAACACCAAAAAACTCAAATCTTGTGATCTACTTCTATAACTTTACTTGCATGCACTTATGAAAGGGCACTAGTGTCCTCTGTTATACAGGCAGTCCCCAAGTTACGAACAAGATAAATTCTGTAGGTTTATTCTCAAGTTGAATTTGTATGTAAGTAAAATGTGTAATCTCCTTCAGATAGCATAGGGAAGGGTTAACACCCCTGTGGTGTTTGTTTTGCTGTCTGCGCCTCTTCAGAAGATTTTGCCTAAATTTCTTTCCCTGTGATAATTTGGAGTTTGAAAAATTTGGCTTGTTGTGGAAATGATTGGTGATAAAGCTTCAGTGGAGACACCTTTTCCCCATGATAACTCTGTGAAATCACTGTGGTTTTCATTCCTTTAACGTGTCTTTCAACCCCCAAACCTGAAAGAACTCAGAGAACCTATTAAGCGATGTAAAACTGGTAAAGCACCTGGCCTAGATGACTTAATGATGGAGCAAATCAAACACTTGGGCCCCAAAGCTGAAAACTGGCTTTTGAAATTTTACAATCAATCCTTGGCACACAAACAGATTCCCAGACTATGGAGGAAAACTAAGATAATTGCCGTTTAAAAACCTGGTAAAAAACCTCCAATGCCAGGAACTACTGGCCTATCTCACTCCTATGTCATCTATATAAAGTATATGAGAGGATACTACTAAATCGATTAGGACCTGTAATTGAACCCCAGCTTATTGCACAACAAGCAGGTTTCAGACAAAAACTGTACAGCCCAAATTCTGAACTGACCGAGTACATCGAGGAAGGATATGAGAAAGGTTGCATTACTAGAACGGTTTTTGTTGACCTTACAGAAGCCTATGACATGGTGCAACATAGGAAAATGCTGCAGAAAGTCTACCATGTTACCCGAGACTATGATTTCACAAAAACTATCCAGACTGTCCTAGAAAACTGTAGCTTCTATGTGGAGTTTCAGGGCATGAAAAGTAGACGGAGGAGGCAAAAGAATGGTTTACCTTGTTTAATATCTTTACTAACGATCAGCCACAACCGCCACTCACAAAGAGCTTTATACATGCTGATGACCTTGGCCTAACCACACAAGCAAGAGACTTTGAAACAGTTGAAATCCAACTTACTAATGCCTCGAAAGATCTCTCTAGCTACTGCAAAGATAACCAACTGAAGCCTAACCCTGCCAAAACACAAGTATGTGCTTTCCATCGACACAACTGTGAACCCAACAGGAAATTGAAAGTCACCTGGGAAGGTCAAGAACTTGAACATTGTTTCCATCCTAAATATCTTGGTGTCACCTTAGATTGAACACTAGCATGTAGCAAACATTGCTTGAACACCAAGCACAAAGTAGCTGCACGCAATAACATCCTATGAAAACTTACTGGCAGCACCTGGGGTGCAAACCCAAAAGTAATAAGAATATCAGCCCTAGCTTTGTCTTACTCAGCTGCTGAGTATGCCTGCCCTATTTGGCATAGGTCTGCCCATGCAAAGCAGGTGAACATAGCATTGAATGAAACATACAGAATAATCACAGAGTGTATTAAACCTATACCTGTTGATAAACTCTACAAGCTAGCTGGCATGCCCCCCCCCCCCGCCAAAGTGCGATGGGAAGTTGCTACTAAA